AAAGTAGTAAAAAATATTTTCCAATAAATTATTAAGACTAGTATCCAGAATATATAAAAAATTCTTACAACTCAATATCATTAGTCTGTTTATATGAAATGTCCCAAACTGGCTATCTATAGGGACAGAAAGCAGATTTGTGCTTTCCTAGGGTGGTAGAGAGGGGAAAATGGGGAGTATTTGCTAATGGGTAGAGTTTTCTTCTTAAAGTAGTGAAAATGTCTTAAAATTAGATGATGGTGATATTTGCTGACTCTGAAATTAAACTAAAAGTTATCATATTTTATACTTTAAACAGGTGGAGTTTATGGACTCACCGCAGGCTTGAGCTCAAGTGATACTTCCACCTCAAACTTCCAAGTAGCTGGGACCACAGGCATGCCACCACACCTGACTCGTTTTTGTATTATTATTATTATTATTTTTTTTTTGTAGAGACAGTGTCTCGCTATGTTGCCTAGGCTGGTCTTTAACTCCTGAACTGAAGCGATCCCCCTGCCTCAGCCTCCCGAAAGTGCTGGGAATACAGGTGTGAGCCACCACACCTGGCCTAAAAAACAGCTTTGAGATGAAACTTGCATGTCATACAATTCATTCATTTAAAGTGTACAGTTCAGTGGTTTTTAGTATATTGACAGAGTTGTGCAGCCATCACCACAATTTAGCTTTAGAGTATTTTCATCTCCCCCAAAACTAACCTGTACAATGAGCTGGTACTCCCCATTCCCTCTTCCCAACACTCCTCTTCCCAGAACCACTAATCTATTTTCTATCTCTGTGGATTTACCTATTTGGGAGATTTCACATAAGGAAGTCATACAATATGTGATATCTCATGACCACTCCTGACTTGGCATGCTATCATTGTCATTCCTTTGAACTGTACATATTTGCAAACTCCACATTATATTAATGCTTTATATAGTCAAGATTCATTTGGATATATACACCTTAGGAACACCTTTGATATTTTAGTTTTGGTTACACTGAACTTAAATTTATCTGTGAAAAAGACATCTTACAATATTGAATCTTCCTGTTGAAGAGAACAATATATTTTATCATTGATTTAAGTTGTATGTTCTCCCAGTAGCACTTCAAAGATTTCTTCATCTAGGTTCTCTGTAGTTTTTGTTGAATACATACCTAGATATTGTTGCTTTTTGTATATTTTTTTCTTTTGGATAGTTGAGCCTTCTCGTCTTTATTAGAGTAGAGATGAGTGGTTTTGTCAGTGCTTTCTTTATGTGACCTGTGTAATAGGTAATTTTCCCTTAAGTCTGATATACAATATAAATATGTACATAGATATATATGAAACAAGGAAAATTGATGACAAGAGCCAAATAGTGTTTCTGACAAATAATTCACAGAAGTCCAGGATTTTATTTTGATCCAAATTTTAAAAAATGAGAAAAGAAAGAAAAAAAAAGATGTTTGTTTTTCAGCGTTTTCTGGGAGGTTTTCTCAATTTGTTACTTTCTTATCCATTACTTTACAGTTGCATGGGCTCTGGTCCATTTGTGTCAGAGCCAAGTTCATCTTGTTTTGAAGCCTGTACACTTATACACACTTTTCTTGTAACTGGGAATGATTTCCCCTCACATTCTGATTCTCCTTCGAATCTCAGTTTAAGTGTCAACTCCTCTCCAAACCTCCCTGAGTGAAGTGGGCCTTTTCCTCCATTTTCTTTCACTGTACTTCTTCATGCCCTGAGCACTCATCACAACCTAATAACATCTATTAACTGCTTTGTCTGTTTCAGACATACAATGTAGATTCTCCAGTGCCTACCAGAGTACTTGGCACATACTATGCCTTCAACACATAATTTTCAAAAAAATGAATTCAACACATAATTTTCAAAAAAATGAATTCAAATTTAATTTAAACTTCTAGTTAACTTATACTGAATGTATATGCCAGGCACAAGTCTTGGTGTATTTTACATATTACATTTGGCTGTCATCTAATTAGCTCAGAAGCTCGCAGACTCACAGTTCCAAAGTCCTCTCTAATTCTAGCAATTTTCTCCTCCCACCTGAGGGTCTTGTCCCGCCCCCCACATCTTCTTCACCCCTCACCCTTCTGGGAGCCCAGGCAGGGTTACCCGGTGGAGCCTTCCGGGACCGATGCGCATGCGCGGCCGATCTGCACATGCGCAATATTCGCGCTGCCGCCGCTGTCCCTGCCTGGTTGAGGTGGCAGCAAGGGGCGGGACGCGCAGCGCTATGGCCGAGGGCAGCGGGGAAGTGGTCGCAGTGTCTGCGACCGGGGCTGCCAACGGCCTCAACAATGGGGCAGGCGGGACCTCGGCGACGACCAACAACCCGCTGTCGCGCAAGCTGCATAAGATCCTGGAGACGCGGCTGGACAACGACAAGGTAACCGGGGCTGGTGGGGCCGGAGGCACAGGTTCCCGCGGGGCTGAGCCGGGCCAGGGGCGGCGTCTGTCAGGAACCCACCGCGGTCTCCCTCGTCCCGGCCGCAGAGCGACCGCGAGTGACCCCAGCCCTGCGGGCTCCGCTGCTCTGCGGGCGCCGGGGGTGGGGGGGGGGCGGTGAGAAAGGGGAGCCCCAGTAACCTCCGGAAAAGCGAAGGGGTTTCCTGTGTGTTCTCTCCACCTGAAAAGGTGCCTTCAAGACTCTCTGGATGGGATTGGTGAACTGTGGCGCCTCGAAAGGTGCCCTCCATACACCCCCGGAGGTGTTTGGCGGTGTGAGCCGGGAAACAGGAGGAGAGCACAGGACGGGGTAGGAAATACATGCAGAAGAGCAGATTCCAAGATAAAGCAGTACGAATAGGGGTCAGGAGACCAAGAGAGCATTGGTAGGGATAAGGGAGCGTTTCCGCCGACAAGTGACAACAGCTACAATAATTTGCAGCGCGAAAGAACTACCTTTGCCCATGGCTGAAATGAACTTATATCTACTAGTTTTTTTTGTTGTTAGCCAAGCGCTATGATTTGTGGGCTCAGGCTGTATTTCTTTAGAAGATAGACCACATGCTCTCTCCCAAGTACCTCCTGAAACTTAAGTTGGACTTTACAGTTGCTCACATACCCACCCAGCCATCTCTTCTGTGTCCGTGAGTCGCTAGGTAAATTGATCATGACAGTGTAACATAAAGAAGAACATACGTCAAAGTTAGAGTTTTACAGGTGAATATGTAGGTAACTGAAAAATAGCTGTCAATAACAATTTGACTCCGGTATGTAACAAAATAACATTGCAATGTAATGAATAACAAAGAAGGGCTCTGGGGGCTGCCACTTATTAGATAGAACCACTACATTTGTGCATTATGATTTGAGTAAGTCCCTTCACTAATCTCAGCTTCCGTTTAGGAATTAGGAATACTGCTAGTAACTTTCTCATGGTGGTTATTTGAGGACTCAGTGAGAGACTCCAGGTAAAGTCCTTTGCAAAGAGCCTGGCACTTACTGTTTCTTAACAAATATTTTATCATAAAATTTATGAAGTGTTTAATGTATCTCGTATTGATATTTATTATATCATTTAAGACTGCTACTTATTCTGATGTAGATAACATGGTCTTCTTTTTTTTTTTTTTTTTTTTTTT